TCCCACGCGATGCAGCCCATTATAATTAAGCGGTAGAATTGAATAGGTGGTTGGTGACTGGGCAAGAGACTGGTGAATGGCACATGGTGAGCGTCAACGGAATACCGCCGAAACAAATTTAGGAGAGAAAACAGTCGAAGCAATTGGCCTGAAACTGTTTAAAAACGTAGGCAAGCACTGTTTCACTCTGCAGTAATGCAGAGTCTGGAAGTATTTGAGACGTACAGTTCTAAACTAGGCCAGAAAAGTAGCACTAATTCCGAATCTCTCTATAGATTGAAAAACATGTGAATGGAGGAGGAATGGAACAGGCAAAGGCACCTCATTGAGTAAATCATTAGTGTGATATTTATGAAGAGCGAAATGAACGATGAAACTTCTACAAAACACACGTGCGACGAGACAGTGGAAACAGTCTGGAAGGCACATGGTCAATTCGTCTCCGTGAGATAAAAGTGCCGCGCATTGGTGAAACATACCAGAGAGCGTGCACGTCCTTTTTCAGAGGCGGTGAGTGATTAATGAAGAACAAGAGTTCGTTTGATTTTAGAAACTCCACCAATGCAACTACCCTCCGATCTTGCAAATTTCACACAACCAGTAGGATATGCGACAGGAGAACAAGTGGTAAGAAAAGAGAAGTGACAAAATGATCAAAATTGAAAAAAGGTGGAAGGAATCGTGTAAGTCGGGTCATGAAAAAGATGCAGAAAAATGTTGGAAGTGATAAACGGAGCTTGTGCATATTTAAAGAATGTTGAACAAAGAGGAGCAATGACGGCCGGAAGGCAAATGCAGAATTACACGAAAAAAAAACTATGGAAATTGGAATAAAAAATCAAGCTTTACAGAGCATTGCCGAACTAAAGAAGCGTGAAACGACAAACCAGATTACGTTCCACCGGATGATGACGAAAAGCATGTGTTCAACAATCGATACAAATAATGCGAAACAAAATAGAGTCCTCTTCGCTTCTGCAAGCATCCTTCAACAGTTGGCTTTTGGGATTTGCCTAAATTGACTTTCGCAAACACATACAGGAAAAATCAAGACAGAGACGAACGAGGTCACATAATCAATTTGTCGCTAAACGCACTGATCTAAATGCTTTCGGCCAATTCAAGTGTGCAAGTAGTACAAGGGGTGTGCAATTGTCCGCCAGGAACTTTATTCGACGGTGAGAAACTTTCAAGAGGAGATTGACGATACGGAATCGCCCACAGTAAGTGCAAAGTCAACTAAGCTTTGGCTGATTTGGCAAGAATGACAAAAAACTTAGTACACCAGAGACGATTCATTAGACATGTCACGACGGCAAAATTGAAACTGTTGAGCCCTTTTACAAGCAGAGAAATCAAAATAAACTATTCGCATAACAAAGCATTAAGACGGCAGTACGAGCATTAAATAATAGTTTTAGCAAATCATGGTGTTAGAGTGGCCAACCGAAGGGTGCGAGATCCATTTGAGATGAGGAAAACGCTAGCATATATTGGCGATTATTGGTGGTAAAGAAATGGCAATATACCAACAATGACAACCTCCTTCATATGAAAAGTGACCATAAAAAACTCACATGGCCAAACTGCGAGAAGTGATCGCGTAGCATGTCTGCAGTGATGTCTTCAGTGAGTTGTCCAATGTGGAGCTTGCGATTAACTTCTTGACGATCGCCTTCGGTCTACAATTTGAGAAGCAGGCACTCTCGCACTCATCAACACTCAACACCACCACGCGTCGTCATATCAACGAACAAAACCATGCACAATGGAGGAAGGGGCAAGAGAAGAGGGGTAGGACGAACAGGGATGGGGAGAGGAACATGCCATCACTTCTCTTAGGGGAACATCACCATAACTAACACCACCACTATCACCATCGTCAACAGTGTCACAACGCAGCAACGGCAGCATACAAGAAACGCACACGCAGCAAGCCGAAAGAAAAGCAATGTTAGTCTTTTCGACCGTATTCGCAGACGCATGTTATAAGGCTGTGCAAAGTTATGATCGCTCTTAAACCTATTAATTGCTGCCTAACTGTGAGCGAATACAAATGAGGCTACTCCGTGAATTTTTGCATAAAAGTGAAAGCAAGCCACCTTACAGTAAGTGATTGAGGGACGGATAGACAACAGGTAGGCCTTCGAGGAATATATGCTAACAACGGCTAAATACCAGCGCAAAAATGTCTCTACTCGACCTACCGTTTTAAAAGGAAGCCCCCACAGATGCAAAGGCATTCAAGAAACAGCTAAACAGTCTGGCATCTAACTTGGAGGCTGTTCAGTAGGACTTGAAAACACACAGTTGTACTACTTCTTTAGGTGGATGGTACCACGCACGCAACAAATTAAAAGCCCGATCGGTTGCTTATCCGTCGCTCAATAACCTAACCATCAAAACCCAAAAGTCATCAACCGAGATTCCAGTAAGTAATGATGTCTTCTTAGCCATAACTTGCAACATCCGTGTGCCGATTAAAACCCCCTTGAATTAATCTACGGGAACTTGAGTAAAAACTACAGTAAATTATAGCCAAGTAAAAATAATGGTTATAAGGTAAAAAACATCCAAGTCATATGATGGATGTCGAGCTATTATGGTAGTTCGTTAAAACGCACGGCATGAGCTTTAAATGAATTAACCTTGCAGTGCCACTATGTTTGTTGGTAATCACGAAAACTCAAACGATTCCAACTACCCACCGACAGGCATATTCGCTACCAAAAATGAGGGTGTAATGAAGGCAACACATTGGCAAGACTAACAATTAATCTAAAGACCTAATTGTATAACGCCAATTCCCGAATAGAATTCACCTACCTTTGAGATAGGGATGCGAACATCACACCACCTGGAATCGATGAAGTGACGCTCTGCCAGGCACATGACCTGGGCGTCGTAATCGCGAAAACGAATGAAACCGTAACCACGACTCTGATTGGTGTTCGGGTCGCGTTTAACCTAAAAGATAAAGCAGAGTCTCAACCTGCGCGCAATACATCAGGTTAACGTATGACTCCTTTGAAAAATGTCTTTCTAATGGGCGGAATGTAAAGTCAAGCAATGCCTCGATCTGAGATGGTGCACAATCACTCGATACCACCACAAGGTCATCACGTACATGGCACATATGTAAGTACCATTCATAAGATGAACTTAGAGGGTGAACGTGGAGATGAAAACAAGATCGCTCTCCAAGTGCTGACGAAAGGTATTGAAAGGACGAGCTTTGCAATATAAACTAAAAGCTCCTCAATCAGCTACACCAAGGAAGATTCGTGAGTTTCAAATACCAACGAGTAAACCATCTTTTCGTTCTAAAAACTAGCAATATAAATGTTCAAAACAGCCCGACTTATTACATGTTTACAGAGCTTACATGAACACGGCGATAATTTGACCACAACTACCAACAGCATTAAAGTGGTCTGCAAGACAGAAAACTCAACTGGGAGAATACCAGTAACTAGTATGCTTAGTAAAACTCATTGTTCTTGCAAAAAATGGCACCTACTTGAAAATGGAGAAGGAAGATACGGTGATAAAGTTGAAGCAATAACTATGGGCAAAAGAATGGCTGCAAGTGAGTTAAGAGAGCTAGAACTGTACGAAGCACAACAATGTAGATAGGACGTGGTATTGCTACCCTCTGACTTTTGACTGGCATTAAAATAGCTACGAAATCAAAAGCATAAGATGCTCAAGTGATAGATGTTTGCTTAATTAACGCCAGAGGAACATGAAAAGCAAAATTCGCAAAAAATAATACATAGTATTTGGTATCCACTACGAAACACTAAGGAAGGGAGACCTTACTTGGGCCATTACAACGTCCCCAAATCGAGAAAAGTAATTTTTGAGAGCTGTTTCCTCTACACGCCAAGGTAGATTTAAAACAATGAGATCCGTACATCGCTTTCCATCAAGTCTTTTGGTTTTGGCAAAGTTTCCAGCCTCCTCGTCATCGACCTTTCTCTTGGCTGAAATTACCGAGTTCCAAAACCAATGATCATTTTCAGAAATAGGCTCGACCTAACTTAATTAGTACATTAAAAAATGAATTAGTGAAAGGAATCATATAGACCTATAAAGACGTAAAATCAGGAAGACCAAGCAACGAAATTAACACGACCGATTAATCCAGGGTTGTAGACATAACAAAGTAATGATCGGAAGCCCACCATATGAAACGACGATTTTATATACTCTATTCTGCCATCCATCTGGAGGTGGATATATGCGACCGTCAGAGTACCTCACTCCCCGCATGCAACCAGATTCTGAGGTATATTTAAGACCCGTAGCTCGGGGAAATTGAGCGGCAAGAGTACTAAGTAGTAGTGTTTTATCATCTTCTAGCGGTATCTCAACTGGAGTGCCATCATCTTCACAGACTTGTACGTAAGACACCTCAGACGAAAGCATCGTCACAATGTGAACAACGCCACTCCGCT